TGACAGAAATACAAATATTCCACAGATTCTCCAAGGGATATTCCAAAGCACAGTTCACCCAGGAAATCCCAGTTTTGTACTCTTACACGTTTTTTTCAGAACAGTGTTTGGCCCTCTCTGGAAGAACCATTTTTACATCTGAACATTTAAACCACTGTCACAGGAAGATGGCAATTCCCACCTCAGAATTCTCCTGCCAAGTGACTCGGAAGGAAAGCCTTAACAGTTCAAGGATTATATTGTATATCTTCGTCAGCAATTAGCATCTCTCGGAGTAGCCAGGCTGTTGAATTCCAGCAAATATCCCCAGTAATGTTAATCCAGAGACCAAGGTTCAAGAGGGAGTTAAAACAAATATGTGGACATAACATTAACTAAAGCTCTTCATTACTTGCAAGATAAGTTTATTTCTCCCTATCCCTACTTCTTTCCTTGCTTTCTTTCCACCAGTGCCCTTATTAATGAACTGTGAAAGCTGACATTTCCAATAAGGAACAATTAAATCTGAAACTAAATTAAATGAAGTCATTCATTTACAAAATAATAGCTAACTAGCGTGAGGATGGTGAAAAATGATTGCAAGTCAGGGGGAAAAAAAAAAAGAGTAAATTAAGTCTGACTACATTAATGTTCTTTAAATACTTTTGCTGCTCAGAAAATTAAATGGGAAACATCTTATTAGATATCTTACATGTAAGGTAGCACTGTGTGTATTCAGCATGACAAGTATTACAGGACAGAAATCCTTCATAGATGTCGGAGTAAGTTTATACTTAAATTCTGAACTTTCAGCACCCTTTTCTTGCAAAGACACCATGGCAGGTCTGGGGCAAGGCATGGGAGATGATAAGTGCATTTAACCTCATAATAATGGTGAAAGGCAGGAGTGGTGGCCCTTCCAGCCTTCACAATGTTTTGGTAAAGCTCTAAGGTTTTTTTAATCCAGGTAATAGGTGTTGTCTTTGGATGCTTGAGTTAAATGTAGTTAATCACATCGCAGTATTTTCTTAGCCTCAAAAAAAGGAATTTGCCAGGTCCTCCTGTTTCAATAGCATGGGAACTGCTCGTGGAATAAGGACAGAAGCAAGAAGTCACCTTGGAGGAGTCAATTCAGCAAATAGTGTGGATGGTCCTCCAGCCAGTCCACTTCTTCAGCCTTTTTTTTTTTTAATGTTATACTCTATAAGGATAGAATTCACTTGAAATGTCAGTGTTCGAGGCTTCAGGATGTCTGACTCATTTTCAGGGTTCTGATTCCTCCAGCCAGTCCACTTCTTCAGCCTTTTATTATTTTTTTTTTGTTATACTCTATAAGGATAGAATTCACTTGAAATGTCAGTGTTCGAGGCTTCAGGATGTCTGACTCATTTTCAGGGTTCTGATGGCTTTACACGGATGTAGAATATTTTTTTTCTTATTTGAGAAACTTCAGCAATAGAGATAAATTTTGGAGCGAGTAATCCACAGCTTGATACTAGGTTATTTCCCATCAAATCCAGCCGCTCACACTGGCTGCTCTTGCAGCTGGATTTCTCAGGCTGTCCATCCTCATACACCCAGCGCGCTGATCCCCGTAAAACCAAACCCAAACAAGGAATGCAAACACTGCAGGAACACAATGAGGAAAAAGCCCACTTTAAGGGAATGCTGATTTGCTGTGACCAATGCCAGCTTAAGGTTTGCCGTGCTACTTAATGCATTTTTATTTAAAAAAGCTTTTTTTATATATATCTGTGAATCTCTGAAGGCTCAGGCTTTGCAATCAGTTATTCTTAGGGGGATTTTTAGAATCTCTTCCATAAGAATTTGAGTTTTACTTGAATTAATCTAAAAAACTCTTAACCTTCTTGCATACATTCTCCAAAACCCTGTTTGTTTTTTCCGAGTGGTGTGGGTGGTTGTTCGGGGTTTTTTCTTGTTTTTGTTTTGTTTTCCCTAGGCAGAGGAATGTTTGAAAAGGAGAATTGGAAAGAGATTTGGACCCAGCTTGAAAAAAGCATTGATTTCCTCAGTTATACTTAAGGCCCTTTCCTTTTGTAAAACAAATAACCTGAATAAACATGTCAGGGAAGATTAAAACCTCATTAAAAAGTGTAAACAGAGTGCAAAGAAGAAGGAGGGGGAAAAAAAGCATGGCTGAATTGAATAATGGTAATAATAAAATCACTAAACAATATTGCTAGTTAAAAGTCCTGTTAAAGTGAATGTACCGCTGAGATGGGAAGCAGAGCCGCTGTTATCTAACGCTCGGGACGGAGATTTCTTTTCAATAATTTGATAACGTTTTAATGAATAAATTAATAACATTATCCAGGAAATGGAGTTCATAGATAAAGCCAATTCCTCGCCGGTTCCCAAATCTAATCAGAGAAGTTCTGTTCGGGGATGGTCAGCAGTGAGGCATGTGTTCAGCAATATTTCTCCCTGCCCACCTAGAAGGAGACACAACTGCTGAGGCCACCGCTATGGCACTGCATGCATAAGAGCTTTACTTCCCAATATTAATGCAAATTACGGCTTTAAGGCTGGCAATTATGCATTTTTATTTTACTGAGGTGAGCAGGATTATTGCATATATGCTTTAAAAATGCTAAAGAAAACAACTCTATCTTCTTCTTAAGTGACGTACTTTTAAAGACAAATTCACAGGAAAGGAGAAATATTACTTGTTAGAGAGGAAGCACTTCAGCAGATTTTGAGGACAGGGCGAAGTTGTGTTAATGTATTGCCAATACGTAAGATCCATTCTCAAGATTTTTAATTTAAGTGTGTAAGGGAGCCGAGGGAAGAAGTTAATGAAGGACAGGGCAAAACAAGAGCGGAGAAGCAACATTTCCATAGCAAATGGCAGGATCAGGACAAGGAACTATATTTTTGAATTTAAGGTAAGATTTAATACAAGAGGAGGACTGGAATCTGACTTAGTGCAAGCACCTTGTGATTATCCCCTTTGTTTCACTTTGACAGTAAATACTGTAATTGTCTGCTTGGCCTTTCAGTCAAGATCAAGCACAGGAATTTTAATAATAAGACCTTTATTCAAGGCTCCAGAGGTACCTGAGATAGTGATGAATGAGCTTGTGTGCCTTCACAGCAGAGTTCTACGTACGTAAGGGTGCGAGCTTGAGTGCCAGAAAGAGTATAGCTGTTAATAGTTCACTTGCACTTGAGCTAATTAGCTCTGGTTTGTCCTTTTAGCTTATGAAGGCATTGTGTGATTTAGACAATCTCTTGATGCCACAACATCGTTTATAAGGCAGCGCCCCAACAGCACTCATCATTTCAACAGCCCACCTGACATCTGGAGAAAACCCCTCTGTATCCTTTTATAATAGCAGGATGTAATCCTCATCCTCTCCAGAATATTTGTCAGCTGCTCATTGTCTGATACCATCCTCGTGCTGTCAGACTGCTTCTGTCTTTTCCCCTTCGCCAGGTCTCCCTTAGTAATACTTTACAGACCAAACCCAAGCCATGCATCCAGTGGTGTTAGTGAAAAAACAGGGCAGAAAAGACAGGTCTTGCTGTGGGACAGCTGTGGATGCAGTCAAAGTGACTGATGGCTCTTGCATGGTTTGTTCTTTATAGAATAACAGAATGGTCTGGGTTGGAAGGGACCTTAAAGACCATTGAGTTCCAACCCCCTGTCCTGGGCAGGGACACCTCCCACCAGACCAGGTTGCTCCAAGCCCCCTCCAACCTGCCCTTGAACCCCTCCAGGGATGGGGCAGCCACAGCTTCTCTGGACAACCTGTGAATGCTTTCACTCATGCAATTCCCTCAATTCCTTCATATGCCATTGTGATTCTTAAGCTGGAATGCTAAATACAGAACATTACTTCAGCCAATGTTGAAATTTATGTAATATTTCTGCCCTGATTGAGGAGGGTGTTTTGCATTTACTTTCAGTGTTTGAGAAAGCTACCCAGAGCCTGTTAAGAACACCTCACAAAGGTGTGTAGCTGCATTTCATACAAAACTCTGTGAGGTTTCCTGCAGATTATAGAGATAACGTGCTTGAAGAGAAGTCAAACCCAGGTTTAGGCATTCCTCTTCCAGAGCTTCATCTACTCAGTCGTGTTTCCCAAACCTTTTACATACAGTGCCCCCAATCCTTCTGACAAAGCAATCCACTGCAAAATGCAATTACCTTGTATAACGTGACATAGCTCTTCACTGGGAGTATTGTGTTCTTATTCCAGAATTTAGAAAAGTTTGCTTTTTGTTCCTTCAGATGTGTTTAGTGTGAAAGGATGTCTGAAGTCTCTCTTCCTAAGCTGGGAAAACTGTACTTGCCTAATCATATTGTCAAGTATAGCAAGTTCCCTGCCTCAGGGTGAAGGCTCTGTTTATAAATAAAATATATTTATTTTCCAGCCCTGGTTAAGTATATTAACGTAAATGCTGTTGTTATACTTGTGCCCTGTAGATATGACTAGTTCTCTAGGGAGAGAGAGAAGCACATCTGATAATTTGTTTTTCACTAATGACAGTAGTAGATTCACCTTGATCTGCTTAACAGTATTCATTTCCTGCTAATAAATCACTGTATTTAAGTTTATTCCAGGGGTTTATATAGATTGCAAGCTGCTCAGATTTGATTAGCAAGATGTCTCACATAGGATCCTGCAAATGGATCAGTCTGTATTTGAATGATTTTCAGTTTCCTCTAGGTTAAATTTTATTAAAATGATTACTCTGCGGTAAGTGCATTTAAGGAAAAGCTCGAAGTCTTGCCTGCGTTTGAAAAGGTATTGCAGAGCAGAAAGTTAGTTGACATTTTTCTTTCTGGGGCTGAGTGGGTAACTGTAAATTTTTAGGCCAGCGCAGCCTGCTCTGATTTACTTCACCTGCCAGAGGCTGCCAGGTGATTTTTATAATTGCCAGGGACTGTGGGGAGAGGGCTGGTGGGAGAGCACAGGAGCCCTCTTCCCTTCACCGCCTTCAGCTGCACCTTAGGGCTGCAGAAAATGCTTTATTCTGCTTTTCTGCATTTGCAGGTTGAGCCTGAAGAAAGAAAATCAAACGGGGCCTGTAGCAGAGCGGCAGAGCCTGACCGGTGAGTGTTTCCTCATGGCTCCAAGGGAGAGGGGGGCTCTGAGGGGCTGGGGGCGGCTGCTGCTGAGGGGAGAGGAAACGGGTTGGGGCTCGGCCTTGTGTGGGGAACATTCTGGAAGAGGAAAACGCTTCTCAGGGTGCGGTGAACATCCTGAGGGGGGAGGCAACAGGCTGGAGTGTGCACGTATGTGTGTCCTTCTGTAACTTTGTTACCGCTAAGAGAAAGGAAATCTTCCGTAAATTACTGAAAAAAAGCTGCCACAAAGAAGGAGGATAAACCCTCTCTGAGCAAAAAGTACAAGGCCGAGTATGGGGATTTGGGCTGGGAAGGGTTTTGAGTGGTAACTTTCTCCATATAGTGGAGGAAGTTTGTGTTTTGGAAACACTGGACAAAATGGCGGCTGAGAGGCGGGGCTGAGGGCTCCCTTGCTGACAGTGAATTCATCCCTCCCTTTGGAGTTTGGAAGCCTTATACCAGCCAAGAGCTCACCCAGAGCTCAGTTTGGGCAAAACATGAGGAACATTTGGGTTTTTTTTTCTGAAAACGGTAAATATCAGCACTGTGAAAGGCAGCGAAAGTGGCTGTTTTTCATACAGGCCCTGTGCAGCGAAATAGTAGCTCTTCTCTGTCCCGTTGCTGCCTTGAACTTGTCTTGTTCTTCTGTTAAATGTTTCTGTTTGTGTAACTGAAAAATCCTGGTCAACGTTACTGTTTCTTAGGACTCTTGACATAGACTTAAATGCTTTTGATGTTAAAGATTTTACAGTTATGTGACTGTGGGGAAGTTTATTTTCTTTTTAAAATACATCTTTAGTCCTGGTGCCAAGGAAACCCCAAACAATTAGTAGAAGTTCTTTCCTGGAACAGAAGGCAAAGTAATGCCTAACGCTTTGTGTAAGTAATAGGGTAGAAACCAGCATTAAGCTTGTGAGAAAGTTCAGGATATAATGCTGGTGGGTAAATGAGATGGACAGGAGGTACTGTCAACATAAACTACTTTGGAGGAAGTTGTTCTGTGTCTTGTTATCATTATATATAAATGGCAGTAAAACAGTGGATGGGAAGAATCATCCCCTGTATTAAAACCTAGTAAAATATTTAGAAGAGGAGCAAAACCCCTGTTCTGCTCTTTAATAAGGAGATGCCAGAGCTAATTAGGAAAGAAAGGGATTGGACCAATTAGAGATGCTTGCACAAACTGAGTAATTCATATTACTTAAGTCACAGTAATGTTCCAGTTTATGTTGGGGAGATATGATGATAATAGTAAAAACCCTACAAAAAGTAGCAATTCACTGATGGGAAATTTTTTTTCAGCTCATCTCTGTAATGCGGAGAAGGAGGATGGTTTTGAGCCTGAGAGGATGTAGGATGATGCTACTTGATAAGGTAAGACCCTTTTAAGGGGAAGAAAACAAATGAGTTTATGCCTTCCAGAGTCTAGAAATTAGGTGGCATTTCATATTGCTTTTTTAAAATAGATAGGGTCTGCAGTACCGAAGGAGAAATACTTTATTTGACTTCAATTAACAGAGCTCATTCGATTTTATGAAGGAATGAGATATCAGATTTTGTAGTTACGAGGTTTATTTATACACACTGAAAATTATTTTTGCATGTTAATGCATGTTAATGTATTTTTGCATGTTAATGCGATTTTGAGACTTTTGTGAACATGTCCTCAGCCAGAGAAGTGCTATGTGATGTCTGAAGAATGAATCTGCTGTTAATAATAATGAAATGTATCTGAAGCAGCTCAAAATTGAGAATGGCCTACTAGAAAGGCTCGGCATTTTCATGGGGGTTGGCAAGGTTTGGCTTTCAGACTTTGTCTGGATTGATAAGAATAGCAAGTCTTCAGTGCTGACTTTTACTTATCTTCTTGCGTCAACTTAACAGAGATGTATTTTATCATTGCAAAGCTGGAAATTGTGGCTAAAATTGCGATAGTACTGAGCAGACCATGTAATAACTGCAAGTGATTCTGCTTGTCTTTTCCTTAGAAGGAACACAAAGTATGAAACAGTGCATTTACTAATTTTACACAATTGTGTGTTATACAAGAAAAGAAAAAAAAATGAAATCTTCCCAAAAGATTGTCTTTGTTATTGTTCTTTTTTGATATTGGAAATGGGCTTACTTTTCAATTGTTCCTTTTTTAATCAAATACTGTGGAGTTCTGCTAGAAAGAGCAGTACTGCAATAATCTGTACGAGTCTTGAAAGAACAGCCTTATGTAAGGTTGAAGCTGCATTTTTGTCTAGTGATCTGGGGTAGGGAATCCTTATGGGTTGAAAATTCAAACTGCAGGTGTGTTGAAAATTGGTTTTTGGAGTTTGCATCAGGGTAGCCTGGCTTGGATGAGTCAGTTGTGGACAGTGAAAGCCTAATTATTGGCTTAGAAAACATGTTGATAATGATGCAAAAATAGTAGTGATATAGCATCCAAATGAAAATAATTAGCATATTTGCCTTGCTACTTAAGTAATTTATTCCCTAATCATCTGTCCCAGAACCTCCTTTTCCCATAGATGTATAAATTTACCCCAGGATTTCAGGTATTAGTATTAGCAGCATTAATATTGTTGTTGATTAGGTTTGACAGGACTCATGAACTAGAGACTGGAGGTATGGCACAGAAAGATGGAAAAATACTGAAAAAAAGAAAGTGATGCAAGGGAAGTCTGCCAGTTTCAGTCAATTTGTAAACTTATGTGCATGTCAACTTCTTGTTTGTTTTGAGTTCTCTTAGAAAAGAAAATGCAGCGCTGTGCAATAATTATTGAAAAACCTGGTTATTTTTTTAAAAGTGCCCAAGGTGAATTAAAAACACAGAACCAGAAGCCTGGAGTTAATCTTTGCCTCTCTTCTCCTTTAGGGGGTCAGGGCTAGATACAAAATGCCATGGAATCCACATTTAGAAACAGGTTTTAATGAGCAGCCAGTACTCGGTGTTGTTGGGAGCACTACAGGTAGACATGCTGATGAGAAGTCTAGTTACATGGATCTTGATGTTAATTTTGAAATATCGGTATAAGAGGACAAACCCTTTACTTACCTGCCTCTATGGGAGGTTGAAAGCTTAAGTTTCATGTTTGCATTAATTTCTGGATATGAACGTCAGGCTCCATTGCAAGCACAAATGAAAAATTCAGCGTTCTCTGTTAAATATTTCAGAACAACCGTAAACTTTTATCAGTCACTTTAATTGACAGGCTCCTTTAGTTCTTTTTTTTTTGGTGAATAATTAAATCTTTCTATTTTCCTGAAAAACACCTCAAACCCTGTGAACACTCTTACTGTATTCTGTCCCTTGGTGTTTGCCTGCTCTCAGCATTTCTATTTCCCTCATGGCCTGAAGAAAAAAACTCTGACTACTTTTCTGAAGTTTTTAGGTCTTGCAAGAACTTGCATCCCCCAGTGGTCCTTCTCCTGTGTGGCGTTTCACACTTCAAACCAGTGAGACAGGAGAGCTCTTACTTTAGTGTTAAACTTCAGTCTTTGCATAATACCTACTGTTCTGTGAGAAGAATAATTAGCAGTCCTGTTTGAAGTCGTGGATCCCGCGTGCTCTGCAGGGGCTTGGCAAAGAGTGAAATTTTGCAGCAGGTCCATTGTTGCAGTTACCTTATACCTTCTATCAGAGACCTTCTCTTTTGGCTTTGTCTTACGTTTTCTGGTAGAGCTGTTGAATAGAGTAGTTGTGTTTCTGATCCTTTCAGAATAAAAATTCTATGCTAAGAGATAATAAATGATTAACCATGTATTAAGTTCTGAAAGATACTTTGACACATTGACCAATGTAGTAAGGTCAGTTCAGTATCTTCCTTCCTCCTACTTCTGGGTGCTTAAGAGGAAATGAAATATTGCTGTCTTAGTACTTGTTGGAGGCTTCTGCTACTTGTCATGGAGCTTGGTCTTGGTCAAGTTGTGAAGGTAGGTTGAAGGAAACGACCTGCAGAGCTTTGTTGATGTGATTCTCCTTGAAGAGGAAGTTCTAAAGGAAGGCGCTGCTTTGAGGTAGGAAATAATTCTTGATTATTCTGTCAAAAGTGCAGCTCTGTAAATACTTCTAGATATAGAATAATACAAACCAATGCTTATTTCACTAAGTACCGTGAAATTTAAAGAATGCATAAGGGGGAATGTGGGCTGTAATGAGTGACAGTGCAGCAGCAGTGGGAGCCATGGTAACACCGAGGAGAGGAATCTGGGAGAAAAGTCTAGGATTTTGGCAATGGCACCAATAGTTGTGGAAAGAGACCGCAGCTGCTGGTGCCCTGATGCTCTGGGCTGAGAGCTGGGGAGGAGCATCCTCTTTGGCACCTATTGTTAATGCTGAATGACTAATGCAGAATTTGGATTTGACATGGCTTTTGACTGCTCTTTGAGACACACTTACATACAGTTAACACCAGTTATGTCACTCTGGCTTGTCTAAAGGTGCACGTTTGTTTTCCTTCATGGATTTAATGAGCTGTCTTGCTTTACCAGAGAAATGGCGTTTAATATAAAATCAAAAAAATAGGCAACTTGTGGACACTTTAATACAATTTAAGATTTAATAGTATTTGCAGCAAGTAACTTATCTTGTTTGGGTCTACCTCAAGCTGAAGCATGGTAATCCTTGGGCTGGCCAAGACCTACAATTTTGTATGATCAGTTTTGTGGATAACAGTGTAAGGGCCTTTTTTTTCCCTTTTCTCTTTCTTATTTTTTTATTTTCTCCTGATTCCGAACACATATGAAGAAAACCTGGGGTTCCTGAGTGAGATTTTAGTGCTTATTCTCCAGTCCTTGCTTGCTTTGTATAATACAGGGGAAAAAAGCTTCTGTTGCCATAATATAAAGAGTAATCTTGGTTTTGGTGTAAGTAGGTAATAACAGCATAATGTTTAGTTCAGTGACTCAATTTTGCAGCAAATAAACCTCTACTCTCAATTCTGTGGCTGGTAGCTGTGAGAGATTCTGGCTGCAAAACCATCCACTTGCACCTTACTCTTGACAGGTCACGACGCTAAATCAGCCTTTCAACAGTAATTAGGGATTTTCTGATTTTTATATGCATGTAATGACTTGGAACTGTTTGACTCTGTTTGTCCCTGTCTGTTTATACCACAGTGGGCTGCTAAACGTTTGCTCATGCATTTTTGTAAACACAGATAATGTGCGTCTGTGGTATTTAGCATTTTCTGTATGAAATTACATCAAATGTTTAGTTGTGGGGAATTTCCCTGTTTCTTTTTTGTTGTTGTTTGGGGAGACAAAAATTCTTCAGGGCATTTTCTTACATCAAATATTTAGTTGTGGGGAATTTCCCTGTTTCTTTTTTGTTGTTGTTTGGGGAGACAAAAATTCTTCAGGGCGTTTTCTCTGTGAGGGAGTCTACCTTGGTGAGGTCCTGCCCTTTCTGCCTGCTGCTATTTTTCTGGACTTAAAACAAACAAACAAAAATAAAACCTCATTTATTAGGGGGAAACAGGATCCTGGACAAGAAAGGGGAATGAAGGGAAGCTGTTAAAACGGTCCACGAATACAAATATTATTGAGTCTTAGTTTAGATCAGAAATACCCAGAGTTGTATGGGTACTGCATAATGACATACTTTTGGGCCAACAATAATTAAACAACTTCAGTTATTCTTGTTTCGTTATGCAAACAGTATTACCCAGCTTATTTTTTCAGATATATCGGGTAACTTGGACCCTCTTGACATATAGTTGTTTCCTGCAGATTGAGAAAAGTGTTTCACTTAAGCAGTTTTTCTCTAAGCCTTGGATTCTCTTCTTCCCCATCCTTCCTGCTCTAGTTCTTGTGTTGGCTTTATTCTTGTGGTGTCTAAGCAGCTGCAAGCTTGGAGTAAAATCTTGACCCTGTTGATGTCGATGAGAGTTTTGTCATTGGCTGAAAAGGAGATAGGATTTAATGTATAACAATTATTAGAGCATCAGGCTCGATTCCTGTTGAGAAAAACGCTTCTTATCCCTGCTGGTTCCAATGTCAGTGACCTTCCTTCCTGTCCTCAAAAGCCCATCATCCACGAAAATAAGTGCATAAATACATTAGTTGAGGGAAGTTGGGAAATAAGCGCATCCTCTAGTGGATCTCGAAGTGTTTGTCTTTCCTTATCAGCCCCATAATGATAGTGCAGCGATGGCAGCTTAATGATAGCAGCCCCAATGACGCCATTCAGTGCCAAAGAGGTGAAGATTGCACATTTTATTTTGGAAAATAATTACGCAGCTAATTACAGCACTTGACTTTCGTCCTTCCCTTCCCTGTGTTCTTGGGGAGGCTGGTTTGCTCAGCTTGCAAAAGACTGCGTCAGTTATTCTAAAGGTCAAAAGACTCTTGTATTATGATTTGTAATTGCTAGTAATAGTGGGTAA